TAAAAATCTCACTGATTCTGCTGGAAGTAGACTTTTCCTGATTTTGACTCATTTGCCACTGTGTCCAAAGAATTAACCCATCTCCTCCATTTTTCATTTGAGGAAAGAATGCTAACCATCTCATCTTTTATCATCTTTTCTTATTGAAAATATTTAAAAATAAGAAACTAGAGACAGAAAATTGCTATATTACCAATGACCACTTCAGAGGAATTTGTGGTTTAGAAAAAGGTATTGGAAGAAAGTTATGATTAATGAAAAGGAAAAAAAATAATAATGACTCACCAATAGAGGAACTTCAGACTTACTGGGAAAGAAAGAGCTTTCTAGATTCCCCCAAATCAACCTGGCTTTCATGTAAGATTATCTCTGGAAATAAGCCTCCTGTTAATCAGCATACATAATTGTTTTACAATACTAATGCTTATTTACACCTCATGTGCTTTCAAAAATATTTTGGATTGTTAGGAGTAAGGATTTTGATCTGATGGGAGGTCACTGCAAAGAGGCTCCTTTTGCAATTGGCCCTGATGAGGTATTTACCCAGAGAAAAGCACATTGGCCCAGTTGTCTTGGTGATAGACAGCTTGGCAGCAAGAGCTGTCTGCACAGCTCTGAGGTGGGGTTGAACTGTCTGTAATGTCTCCATTCAAGTTTGGCTAATTGAAATCAGGAAGAAAAGTTAATGTAGAAAGAAGGCGAAAAAATTAAACCTCTAGTTGGGTTTTGCATGCCTGTCAATGTGCTGGGTAAAAAAATGTTTGGGGGGTTCCTGCTCTGTTATTTTTACTATAATATTGTTATATATGAACTGGCAGATTAGTCTCCAAGACAGTTGCCAGTTGTGGCAACATGGAAGTTTCCTAAGGACCCCAAGTGTAGTTGAGCTTAGTACCTATGGCACAGAAAAAATAAGGAGAATGTCTCTGGAAGGTGACCCCATTAACATCCAGGTAAGAATGTTGTATCTTTAGCCAGGAAAGGTAACACCAAGCTCAGGGTCAAAGGAACCAAGACAGAGGTCTTTAACCTTAAGTCTATGAGACCCTAGAAATTATAGGTAAAAAATTCATGTGTATATGCATATATTCATTTTTCTAGAGTCCTTAGCTTTGGTAAGATTCTCTAAGGATCTAAAATCCATCTAAAGGTAAGAACCACTGTTACATTGATCCTGACTTACAGACTTGGACCTAGTTAATTTCTCCTGCTATTTAGGTATTGGGTGCCATGGGAATGGTGGAATCTTACATATTTGCTATGTAGACCCACTGAGTAGACATACTCTGGTTCAGAATATTTGGGTGTAGAGACCATTCAGCATATTATTCTTTGGTTAAAAAAAATCATAAACATCAATCTTTATTTTTCTTTAGATATGCTGTAGTGTATAATGTACAGTAAGGTTTACAGAAATACAGACACATACATACAAAATAAAAAAAAAATTCTTGCCCTGACTGGTGTGGCTCAGTGGATTGAGTGCTGGCCTGTGAGGTGAAAGGTTGCCGGCTCTGTTCCCAGTCAGGGCACATGTCTGAGTTGTGGGCCAGGTCCCCAGTATGGGGGGCATGTGAGAGGCAACCACACATTGATATTTCTTTCTCCCTTCCTTCCCCTCTCTCTAAAAATAAATAAATAAAATCTTTAAAAATTTTTCTTATCTATTTTATGTCTATCGAATTTCATCCTACTTTCACGCTTTAAGCTGCTTCTCACTTACATGGAATATTAAAACATCTCCACTTCTCCATTTTTCAAACTCCTATGCATTTCTCTGTAAGTTAGTAGCATCTTATTTGATGACATAGTTTTCTCATTTTGGTAATGTTCTCAGTTTATTACTGGCTAATCAGTCTCTTTTATTCTGGTTCCCCATCTTGTCTAAATTAGCCACCATTACCTAATGCCAAAAATTTAAAGCAGGACATTTTGATGAAACTGTTCCAACTAGAAATGATTATTATTGTTTTGAACTTATCAGTTTATGTGTAGAGCACACATTTCTACCTAACTTTAATCCTAGTTAGCAGAGTTTTTCACTTTCTCCTTTATAAATTTCCTTATTTAAAAAATTTGTTGTGTATTACATTTATATTGAGAAAAAAAGAATTAAAAATAAGTATCTGTTGGAGCCCACCAGGTTAACTTTTAAGGAAGTATCAATCATTTTTTAAAAAAAAAACCTTCAATTAAAGGAATGTTATGATATTAAATATATGTATATTACTGCAATGCCTGAGACTACTTTTAGATTCAATTAACCATTTCCTGTATAACTTGGATCTAAGAATAAGAGACCATAATGTAGCTAAAATACCTTCTTTTCCTGTGTTTGACTTTGAGGGAAAAATCAGGATTTTGAAGTATTTATCAAAAAACAAGCAAACTGGAGAGTGAGATGATAGTTTATTGAGTATGACTGGTGGCTCTTTATAAAATGACCAAAGGTGGTCAATAATCCATTTTTTTTGGTACATGAAAAACAAATATGCTGAATTCCCACTCCATCCTTGAACCTCACTCTTCCCTGGGGTAGAAGCTGGCATTAGGATAAGTGTTGGGAATGGGGTAAGGTCTTCTGTTTTACACATTACTTGGTAATTTATAAAACAGCTGGAAGTGTAATGGTTTGTTGTTTTAATCCACATCAAAATGTCTGGGTTAAAGTAGCCAGGTCAAAAAGTTCCTGGTGTCAAAATGGCCGCACAAAAATCTGAATTGATACTCAGCTGAAGTGCTGCCTCTTTCTGTGGGCTTTCCCAGATGCCCTTGGTCAAAATTAACTGCTCTCCTTTTAATCCCATAGTCATTATTCTGTACTCCCATTATAATACCTGTGTTTCATTAAACCATCTACACAACTGACTCTTATTATATTATGAGCTCTTTGAGAGCATGAGCCATGTCTTAGTCATCTTAGCTTGCTACAAAGTACCTTTCACTAATTCATTTAGCCATCAAATGTGTAAAATCTATATTGTTTCCAAAGATTTTGGTGCTGGGGACCTTAAAATGAAAATACATAGTTCCTGGTCTCAAAAAGCTAGAGTCTGGCATAGCAGGAGCTTAATACATGTTGAACTAATATTTTTTCCTATTATTTTGGTTTAGAGTGAAAAAAGAAAAGATAATTGTACAAGGAAGGCTCTATATTACTAATTCCTGTGTTCTTCTGGAGAATGTTATTTTTATCTGTTCAGCATCTGAGAAGAACACTTTAGAAACACAGAGATTTCCTTGTAGCTACTGAAGAACATATTTTTGGAGACTACATGTGCCCTGAAATAAAGGCTTTTAGTGATAAATTTATAATTTGAATCTTAACTGAATATTGTAATGTACTATACTGGGAGTGAGGCTGGAGGAAGCAAAAAGTTGTATTTTAGAGAATCAGAAATGTTCCAGTGTCTGTTCCACATGGACATGTGGTGTGTATATGGTGGGGACAAGGGGAAGTTAGTATGTAAGAGGATTTGATTAAGTCAAGGTCAATTTCCAACTTTATGAAGTCCTCTCAAATTAGTGAGAGGAGATGTGAAACCTCTGTATATCATGTCATTTGAATGGAAAAACTTTCCTACTGACCTTGTCTTTATTCCTAGGGTATATTTAACTTTGGCATGAATGCATATGTCTTAGTGCTTGTTCATCCTGGGTTTAATGTGTTGATCTGATTGTATATATTTCCTATAAACATGCATTTGACTCAGCTTCAGAATAGAAACTGCCAGTGAGTTGGCCTAGTCTTGTGTAAATTTTGGTCCCAAATCCCTGTGAGGTAAGTTTCTTACTAAGTGCATTTTGTTGCTACTGATGATGCTGATAGTCATTTATGGAGTGATCTATTAAGGATACAATTGATAAAACTTTCTCACAGTGACCCTGACTGGTGTGGCTCAGTTTGTTGGAGCATCATCCTATAAACCGAAGGGTCCCAGTTCAATTCCCAGTCAGGGCACATGGCTAGGTTGAGAGTTCAGTCCCTGGTTGGGGTGAGTATTATTGATGCAGCTGATCGATGTTTCTCTCTCACATGGCTGTTTCTCTTCCTCTCGCTCACCCTACTTTCCCCTCTCTATAAAATCAGTACGCATGTCCTCCTGTGAAGATAAAAAATTTATAAAACAAACCCTTTCTCACAGTGGAGTTGAAAACTTTGAACCAACATTTCAAAGCATGAATGAAACATCTAAAAATGTTCCCGACAGTCTATTTTGAGTTGATCATGTTAAGAAAGTGCTATTATTTGTAATTTTATTTTCCTTCAAATTAACCCTTAGTTCAGGGTTTCTATGAGTTAGCTTTGGCTAAGCATATTCAATACTTACCAGGAAAGAGAGTAACCTCTTACTTTAGATGTAGGATCTTTCAGAAACCCTTTACCCCCTTCTCCCCAACACCCCTAAGCATTTTGTCTATTCTTGTCCAGTGGGGTAGCTCATCTAGTACAGTGAATGTAATCTGTAAACTCTGGGTTTTTTTCAAGATTTAAACAAAATGCCTTTTATTATAAATTATACAAAATCAAAACTCCAAACAAGTACAACTTATAAAATCCACTGATATTATATTTTAAAATAACACTACTTAATTAGTTTTCTTTAAATCTGAGTTAGTATAATATAGTATCATTTATCTTTACTAATACCAAAGACAACCACAACCACATTAATACTTGATAGAATTTTAGTGTCTGATATTCTGTACATATCAGACAGCAGCCAATTAACATATAAGTATAGCTTTCATTCATCAAAGAAAATATTTTATTCAAGCTCCCAAAACAAATTTGAGGAGTTATGTTCGGTTTGAATGGAAGAAAAAGGCCCGTTTAAAATATGGAAATGAAATTTTCATTTGGTGGAAACTGAAATCAATGTATACATTCTAATCAGAGATTTGTCTTATGTGGCATTTTTCAAGTTTTTAAAATTCTGTTAGGCCAAACACTTAGCTGACTTCACTGCTTTTGCTTTGCTTTCCCCCTTTGCTTTCTCTCACATTGCCTTCAGCCTTTTTCCTTGCCTCGGGTTCATCCATATGGGGTACTGTCCATGCTGGTGTAGAAGACTCTTTTTCTTTCTCTTAATATTAGTTTCCATTTTCATATAATCTCTTTCATCTTTCACCAAATACGGGGTTTTCTCTTCATGTCTGGGGACTACCATAGTTGCTATCTCTTGAACATCTTTCATCAAAACATCATCATCTATTTTAAGAATACTTATAAGTCTGCTAAGCTCCTTTGGGGCATTCTTTTCTCTCTTTTCAGAATACATGTTCCTTTTCCAGTTACTCCATAAGCTTTAGCCATATTTTATCTGAAAAGACTCACCACTCACAGTCCACATGCTCGTGGTGACCATAAGTCCTCAAATCTGTTTTTTTTTTTTGGATAGGCCAAATGACTTGACTAATTGACAGAACTTATAAATGGTTATACTGAATTAATCAGTTGTAAAGCAGGACCAACCTGTTGTTAGACTGAATTATTTGTTTGACTGAAGTAATTGCTTGATTGAATTGAAAGGCAGAATGTTTCTTTGACCAAACTGACTTAATTTCTTATATTGACCTGAAAAATGGACTTGACTGTTTGTAGGACTGAATCACCTCCTCCCTTGCTGGAAATAACCAACTGATATGTCCAACCTGAATGGTTCATTTGATAGCACTATGTTGACCATATGCAAACTTGGAAAAGAGTTACATAATTCAACATTTTAATCTCCTTGGAGTATAGGAGGTCAAAAGGAATAACTCTGAACTGAGAATCTGATGGAGAACTTTGGGATTCCAGAAACCACATGTCTTCTCTCTAGGCCTATTAACTGTACACAGAGAAGCCCATTGGTCTGATGAATTGGAGACTTGTGCCGCACTTCTCTTTTAGGAGAGTGCAGTCTTCCAAGAGCAACATCAGCTCTCTGCTGGGCACTGGCTTATTCTTGGAACCAGATGAAAAAGTTAAAATTAGTTATTGGGAATTGTGTGTGATCTGCAGAAGCAACTGAAGTAAGTAATTTCAAAAGTAACGTTAGAAATAAGTGCATTGGAGGAGGGTAGAAAAAAACACATGCTAAAAATATACTTAGAATTTATTGCAAGCATAAATTCATCATAACAGACTGCTGAAAACCAAACACAACTACTCTATCTGCTGGCAGACGAGTGGCTGGGATACAGATGAGGCAATCAGTGTTAGTCCAATGTAGTGAATTCTCATCTTTGGATCAATTTTTCTAGAGGAAGCCATTGGATGAACTCTTCCTCTCCCTTTCTAGGTCTGTTCTCCCAGAATTTAAAAAAGGACTCAAGAATCTTTCATCCTTTCATAGTTAACCCTACATGCAAATTGTCATTTTGAAATCCTCTGGTATTTTGAGAGATAGTATATATCTTTCATCCTGGGTAGTCTATGACTTTAGGGTTAATAAGGACTGATGGTTCCACCTATACTACAAATCCAAATGTCTTAAAACCAAACACATTTACTCTCTGCATACAGCTTGTCCCTTCTGGATTTCCCTTCCATGTCAAGTTCTCTATGAAAACCTTTGAACAGAATTTGGGAAACTGTAATAAGATATGCTAATCAAGATGAACCGGCTCAAGGGAGTTCATTCACCCTTTGTGTAACTCTGAGAGGTGATAAGCATTAAAAGCTCTCCCCAATTTCTTGTTCTTTGGATCTCTTGCTGACTCAATGGAGCTTTGACAATTGGCTTTCTTATCAGTCAGGAGGGCAGTGGAACAGAGACCACCAGGAATTAATTGGAAAAAGGTTTTGGGGAACCCCTCATATCATACCTACTTGGGGGGAGTTGGATCTTACATTAGAAAAATGTAAACTTGGAACTGTCCCTGGTTACTGGGGCAAATTCACGAAGTTTCCAAATAAATGGAAATGTACTCAATCTTGAGGACCAGATGATATACCTTCAGTATTTGGAAAGTTCTCAAGAGTTTGGACATATAAATGACATTTTGGGTAGAATTTAGTGGCAAATCTATCTAAAGATGCTGGGTTTTAACTTCCAGGGCTTATGTAACCATCAGATGTGGACAGCTGATGTCTTTACTGGATGAGTAACTTGATGGTCACTGCCACAGTCATGTTACCAATCAGTGGAAAAACACTGCTGACACTTGTTAAATATGTTCCACATGCCAGGTAATATTTTAAGCATTTAAAAATGTTTAAATTATTTTATTGTTGTTCCATTACAGTTGTCCGCGTTTACCCCCCCCCACTCCTCCCCACCCCAGCCATCCCCACCTCCCTCCCCTGCTTTCACCCACCCTTGGTTTTGTCCATGTGTCCTTTATACTTGTTCCTGAAAACCCTTTCCCCCTCCCCACCATTATCCATTCCCACCCCCATCTGGTTACTGTCAGATTGTTCTTAATTTCAGTGTCTCTGGTTCTATTTTGCTTGATTGTTTGTTTAGTTGATTAGGTTCCATTTAAAGGTGAGATCATATGGTATTTGTCCCTCACTGCCTGGCTTGTTTCACTTAGCATAATGCTGTCCAGTTACATCTCAGCTGTCATGAAGGGTAGGAGTTCCTTCTTTCTTTCTGCTGTGTAGTATTTCATTGTATAAATGTACCATAGCTTTTTGATCCACTTTTACTGGTGGGCAGTTAGGCTGTTTTAAGCACTTGGCTATTGTAAATTGTGCTGCTATGAACAGTGGGGTACATAATTTCTTTTGAATTGGTGTTTCAGGATTCTTAGGGTGTTCCAAGAAGTGGAACTGCTGGGTTAAGAGCAGTTACATTTTTTGTTTTTTTGAGGAAATTCCATACTGTTTTCCACAGTGGCTGTACCAGTCTGCATTCCCACCAACAGTGCACTAGGGTTTCCTTTTCTCCACAATGTCACCAGTGCTTGTTGTTTGTTGATTTATTAATCATAGCCATTCTGGCTGGTGCGAAGTGGTATCTCATTGTGGTTTTAATTGGCATCTCTCTAATGGCTAGTGATGCTGAGCATCCTTTCACATGTCTCTGGGCCCTCTGTATGTCCTCCTTGGAGAAGTGTCTGCTCAGGTCCTTTGCCTATTTTTTAACTGGATTGTCTTCCTGATATAAAATCATGTGAGTTCTTTATATATTCGAGACCAAACCCTTGTCTGAGTTATTATTGGTAAATATATTTTTCCATATGGTTGGTTCCCTTTTCATTTTGCTGATGTTTTCTTTAGCCCTACAGAAGCTTTTTATTTTGATGAAGTCCCAATTGTTTATTCATTCCTTTATGTCCCTTGCTGTAGGGGACATATCAGTGAAAATACTACTGCATGGAATATTTGAGTTTTTCCTGATTATATTCTCCTCTAGGACTTTTATGGTGTCATGACTTATATTTAAGTCTTTTATCCATCTTGAGTTTATTTTTGTGTATGGTGTAACTTGGTGGTTGGCTTTTTTTGGCATGTAGCTGTCCAGCTCTCCCAACATCATTTGTTGAAGAGGGTATTTTTACTCCATTTTATGCTTCTGCCCCCTTTGTTGAATATTAATTGACTGTAGATTCATGGGTTTGTTTCTCAGCTCTCTATTGTGTTCCATTGATCTATGTATCTGTTCTTATGCCAGTACCAGGCTGTTTTGATTATAGTGGCCTTGACATGTAATTTGATATCAGGCCTTGCAATACCGCCAACTGTATTCTTTTCTCAAGATTGCTGAAGCTATTCAAAGTCTTTTTTTAGTTTCATATAAATTTTTGGAATATTTGTTTAGATATGTGAAATATGCCATTGATATTTTAGTAGCAATTGCATATTCTACATAGATTGCTTTGAGTAGTATGGACATTTTGATGATGTTAATTCTTCTAATCCATGAACACGGTATATGCTTCCATTTATTTGTGTCTCCCTTAATTTCTTTCCTCTAGTTTTCTTATTACTATAGCAAATGGGATTTTTTTCCTCATTTTTGTTTCTGGCATTTTATTGTTGGTGTACAAAAATGCCTTCAATTTCTGAATATTGACTTTGTATCTCACTGTTTTGCCAAGTTCACTTATTAGGTTGAGTAGTTTTTTGGTGGAGTCTATAGGGTTTTCTACGTTCACTATTGTGTCATCTGCAAACAGTGACAGTTTTACTACTTCCTTTCCAATTTGGATGCCTTTTATCCTTTTTTCTTGTCTGATCACTGTGGCTAGGACTTCCAATACTGTATTAAATAGAAGTGGTGAAAGCAGACACCCTTAACTTGTTCCTGATCTTTGGGGGAAAGCTTTTAGTTTTTGCCCATTGAGTTTGATGTTGGTTGTAGGTTTCTTGTATATGGCCTTTATTATCTTGAGGAATGCTCCCTCTATTTCTACTTTGCTGAGTGTTTTTATAATAAATGGTTACTGTACCTTAAATGCTTTTTTCGTGTCTGTTGATATGATCACGTGAGTTTCGTCTTTCCTTTTGTTTATATGATGTATTAAATTTATTGATTTGTGAATATTGTACCATCCTTGCCTCCCTGAGATGAATTCCACTTGATCATGATGCATGATCTTTTTCATGTATTGCTGGATGCAGTTTGCCAGTATTTTTTGAGGATTTTACTATCTATGTTCATGAGTAATATTGACCTGAAGTTTTCTTTCTTAGTTATGTCTTTATCTGGTTTTGGGATTAGGGTGATGCTGGCTTCATAAAAATAATTTGGGAGTCTTCCATCTTCTTGAATTTTTTGGAATAGTCTGTGAAGGATAGGGGTTAGCTCTTCCTTACATGCTTTGTAAAATTCTGTCCGGTTTAGGGCTTTTGGGTGTAGGGAGTTTTTTGATTACTGCTTCAATTTTGTCAGCTGTTATTGGTCTGTTCAGGCTTTCTGCTTCTTCTTCATTCAGTTTTGGGGGATTATATATTTCTAAGAACTAGTCCATTTCACCCAGGTTTTCAAATTTCTTGTCATATAGTTGTCCATAGTAATTTCTTACAATCCTTTGTATTTCTGTGGTATCAGTTGTAATCTCTCCTCTTTCATTTCTGATTTTATATATTTGAGTCTTGCAGGTAAATTATTTTTTGTTGCAATAGTAAATGGGACTTTTTCTTAGTTTCTATTTTTGATAGTTCATTACTGGTGTATAAAAATACCATTGATTTCTGAGTGTTGATTTTACATCCTTCTTCTGTACCAAATTCATTTATTGGATCTAGTAGTTTTTTTGGTGGAGTCTTTAGGGTTTTGATTGTACAATAGCATGTTATCTGTGAATAATGACATTTTTACTTTTCTTTCCAGTTTGGATGCCTTCT